TTCCTGTAGTCAGATCTAGATGGAGTAACGCATCTATCATCTGCCGCTACGCATACACCAGCAAATATAGTCATGCCTATAGAACGAAATACAAAAAATAATTATTCGCCAAAATCAATTCTATTAAAGTATCCTATATGCCCAGATCTATACTTTCCGTAACTCTCCTGTTAATGCATTGATGCAGATTATGCAACGCATCAATCCTTGAGCGGCCGACTATTTGTGTGTCCTTATCACAATTGCAACAACATTGTAAATAACATCTAGAAATTGTCAACATATATTACAAATCAGTAGTTAGCCGCTAGCGTGAATTTATTTTAATTTTTAATTTTTATATATATAGTCTTTTCTGCCTTAACTGCTAAATGGTATGCAGAACATTATTAGGCCATTAGCCTGCCTTGTCTGCAAAGTTTTTGAATAAATAAATAAATACACGCGCCTCACAAACCGTTAACATAAAATTATAATAATCAGACAAAATAACAAGAAAAATAAAATGCAATATAGCCTAAAAACTGCTGAGCGTTTGAAAACCTTTAACATTCAAACAAGGGAGTTCTAGTATAAACCTCAGATTGATTGAAACTAGGAGATTTCCAAAAATTAAAAATCTATAAACTTGGAAATCTTGGGTACTTAAAGCATCATAATTTTTTAGCGCATGCTATTCAGAAAAAAGCGCCATAGAAGGATCTAATGGGAACCGCCTTTATTTCGACTGTTTAGTTTCATATATGTTTTTTTTAGCTACCATTTGCTGTAGTTATCTTTGGTCCTTCCGCTTTAACATTCACTGTATCTAGCCACAAATCTGAACCCGCACCCTGTACTATGTTTAATACCAATGTTATGGCTTCCGCGTGCTTGTTCATCCTTACAATTTCAAAATGGACAACTTTTTCCAAGAGTTGAGACATGGTAAAAACTCTCACCATTTTTAGCACTCCATGTTTTAATTTTCAATCACGCTGACAACCTTAAATCACCGCAACTTCAAATGCTTCAAATGCCTTCAAATTCTAGATAAACTTCAATCTGCAAAATTTTAAGGTTTAAAGTGCTTAGACTAAGTTTCGTTGCGCAAGTTTTTAAAGTCCAAGACTTGTTTTTAAAAACTTTTCAAAACTTCAGCTTAACATAGTGTTTCAAATTTTTTTCAAGCGCAAGCTGATTTAAATGCTTTTTAATGCGTTAGTGTCTAATCCTCTTCTTCTTCTTCCTCTTTCTCAAAAAAAATTGTTTATTCTAGCTAAACCTGTGACGCTCAGTCCAAACATAAATACAAGCCTTTTAAACTTCGAAATTCGAAGTACTATGCTATTACTCTAACCACTGCTAACTTCTAACATTATATCTTTATACGAAGCTAAATAGCTTTAATTTTTCAAGCTTCTTCATTTATAAAGTTGCATCTCAAAATCAAGAGTCCAATTCAAATAAAATACTCTAAACTTAAAGCT